CTTTCCATTCTGCCAGTGACAGATAACAAGTCGTATCAATCAAGAAAAGAAATAAAATCTATTATTTAACAACGGTAATGATACATCCTTCGTGTTGTTGAAAAAAAATTCTAAAGAGGAAGAATAAATTGAATACAAAAAACCTAAATAGGTGAATCTGTAAAGGATCATTGTGGTTGTTATCTCAGTTATAATCTAGTATTAAGGGTTCCTAAATGTAAATGATGGATTTTATTACTTTTCTTGATTGATACAGCTTTATTATTTTATTTTATCCATCACCACCTGTGGATGTTAACAAGAAGTCAAAACTCTTTATAAAATGTCATAATGAATTATATTTTCAAATAAAAGCCAGTGTCTATTTCTAAAAGCAATTGGGCTCAGAATATTCATTTTTCAAAATACTTCTGAGTATATAAGTCTAATAATATTTACATTTTATCAAGTGCTCAGAATTTTAAATGATTTAAATGCAAACTAGTATTTCAATCTCCCAATATTACTTACTTTATGCAAATGCAAAATCATGGTATAATAAGACAGTTACCTTACCGGAGTCATGTACACTTAGATGTCTCAATTCCCAAGACCCTGATTTTTTACATCCAAAAATGTGTAATTTACTATCCTCGTTATACCATTTATATAGTGACTTTAAATTTTACAAATATTTATTTTTCCACCACCAAGGCTGGCTTTCTGATTAAAATTCAAAAGTCACTGAATCAAAGACTAAGTCAAAAAAGTCACCGCACGGCAATGTAATGAGGATTCAGTTCTGCCCAAGTGGCAGACCCACGTACCTAATTCCAAGAAGGATGTTTACAAATCATATGCAGAGGCAGGTTTCACATTTTGTCTGCTAACGTAAAATAAGAAACAAACATTTTTATGAATTCAGTTCTCCCTGAATCAGATGAGCTCAAGGTCACACAATTAGTAACAAAGGTCTCATTCGATTTTTGCTGCACTTATGTTACTGAGCCATGCATGGGGACCAAAGAAGCATGGCAGCCGGCGAATGGTTCCGCTTTCCCAGAGCACTGTCAATCGCACTGACGCAGGAGGAACGCGTGTGCACAGACAACACGAATGCACAAACTTTTAAATCAAGAGTTTTCAATGCAGTCTGACAGATCTATTAAGTTCTGAAACTGTGTTCAGTTAGAAACCCCGAGGAGCATTTTTTTTTTCCTTTACAGATGTACCAAATATCCCGTAGTTCAGTAACTACTCAAACACACAGCTCACAACAACAGAGACTGTGGAAATATCGTCTAACTTTGCTCCTTGTGGTACAGCTAAGACAAAAGGAAGGTTTCAAAGCTTTATATAAAAAGGTCATTCTGGAATGTAAGTAGCCCTCATGCACAGATCCCAATGTCACATTAAACGATGTTATAAAAATGGTGACTCTGATACAATCCAAGCTCTCATGGTCCCATTTGTTTTCAGCTTCCTATGAATGGAACCAGAGTCCACACTCTGCTACCGCATACTGGAGTTCCCGGGCTGTCCAAAAGAAAAGTTTTGTCACGCGTTCGTGAATTCAGAAACCCTGAAAAGTCTGTGTGCCAGGAGCCGCCACCACAGAGTTGCTAGAGGTCGTTGGCTGGCTTACAGACGCAGAGTTTCTGCAGGTGTGGAGGGCCCTGCAAAGAACAGGTGGACACCCAGCAGCAGGCTCTGCGGCGATACTCAGGCCCATCCTAGTGTGAAGAGGGAAGGGTGGCGGGCCGGCATCTGCGCAGCAGGGCTGAGCAAACCGCCCTCCTGAACCCGGGCCATGCAAAAGCATTGCTGGGACAAAAATCAATGTCATTACCGCAAGAAACAGTTCCACTGCATTTGCCAGTAAAAGAAAAGGAAGAGCAGTTAGATTTAAAGGATCATGCTTTTAAAATACAATTTGAAGAGGCTGACTTCTGCAAATTCTGATTCATGATATGAAAAGAAGTTTTGGTCAATTGGGGAACAAGCACTAACTCTTCTTCGGATACTTGTTTGCTACCCCCTACTTGTGCAGTTTCTTGATGAGATTGGCTATCAAGAATTTGAAGAAAACAATGAAAAGCTCTTAAATAGGAATCATGTGCATCACTTTCAAATATAAAGCCTAATATGGAAAAGTTTCATCTAGAAAAGCAGGACTGAGTTTCTTATTAAAATTTTTGAACAGGGGCACCTGGGTGGCTCAGTCGGTTAAGCATCTGCCTTCGGCTCAGGTCATGATCCCAGGGTCCTGGGATCAAGCCCTTGCTTGGCAGGGAGTCTGCGTCTCCCTCTCCCTCTGCCCTTCCCCCTGCTCGTGCTTTCTCTTTCAAATAAATAAATAAAAATCTAAAAAATTTAAAAATTTAAAAAAAATTTTTTTAAAGAATGTTACCATTTTTTAAATCAATCTTTATATTCTGTATTTATCATAGTTATGTAACACGAAGAAAATGTGACAAATTTTCACCAAGCTCCATCTGGATGCCTCTAAATTTGCTCCTGTTTACTCCCGTGGGTCATGCAGACAGGATTTTCTACCTGTGTCATGATGTGGAAAAGGTTGGGAAGCACCAAAATAAAGGGAGAAAAGACAGAAATCACCAAGAAAAGCACCAGCAGGAAAGCCAAAGGCACTCTTGCTCCTTTATAAAAATACATTATAAATGGTTGCCCAGTTCTGTCTTCTTTGGGCCAGGAGTATTTGAACTTCTGCTGCTCCCCATCCTCTGTTCCTGCCCCATCAACAGCCTGAATCAGCAGAAAAGGAGCCCCACCTTATAAAGTGCACATTCTCAAAGAAAAATTTCTCACTTGAAAGCAACCCATTATATTGCAGATTGATGAACATGCTATATCAAATTTCAATATTAAGACCTTTTCTTGGCACAAAGAGAGAAATTTTGACCTACTTTCTGAATGCAGTTGTGAGAAAGAAGTTTTACAACAACAAATGGACAACACGAGGGATAGTATAGAGCCATTAAAAGCATAAGATTAGAGAGAGATACTGAAAAACATTTACAGTATAAAATTCAGTGAAAAAGCAATACAAAATAGTAGACATATTCAGATTATAAAACACAAATGCATACTTTGAAAAGGTTGTAAGCAAAAAACTTCAAAAATGGTAGAGTGGCAGAATTAAGAAATTTTTTATTATTTAGAGTTCTTTCTTTAACATTGTTATATTGCCTTCAACTACAATGATAATATTTTTCAAAAAGTCGAATGCATTGATAATATATCCACAAACTCTCACTGTTTTTTGCTATTAGTTACCATAGATTAACCAACATTTCTCCCATAAATGTACCAAAATCTCCCTTTCAAACCAGGGCCAAGTGTTAATTGTGTGAAGTGCTGGCTTGCCTTTTTAAATACTGCAATGCCTACCAGAAAGGCAATCTGTAAAACTACTAATAACCTACCCTTCACAGTCTAAACACCACTGAAGACTGTCATCCCATACAAGCACTCAAACACACAACTGTTCGGATCTGAGGACTTCAAAGTAATCACTAAAACGATCTCCATGATTTTTTTTGAGAATGAAGACAGAATTGTCAATATAATTAATTTTATGCTTAAAGAAGAAAAAAAAAGTAGAGCAAGAATTTCAAAATTAATATTTTAAAACAAAGTTTACCTGCTGGATTGTAAATTATCTGTTTGTTCTACGAATAGGAATATGCTAGAATGGTGCTTTGAGGAGCTAAAATTAAAAGAGCACTCACTATGGCAGGCACTGAGTACTAAGGACTTCCTAGAATATTTCATTTAAACCTAACAAGAATAATTTTGGGGCACCTGGGTGGCTCAGTTGGTTAAGCGACTGCCTTCGGCTCAGGTCATGATCCTGGAGTCCCTGGATCGAGTCCCGCATCAGGCTCCCTGCTCGGCAGGGAGTCTGCTTCTCCCTCTGACCCTCCTGACCCTCCCCCCCTCATGTGCTCTCTCTCTCAATCTCTCCCTCTCAAATAAATAAATAAAATCTTTAAAAAAAAAAGAATAATTTTGGAGGTTATGGTTATTATCTCCAGGAGCCAGGAAATAAAATAACTTGTTAGCAAGCCTCAAAGGGGATTAGAACATGGGTATCTTCAACTCTAAAGACCACATTTCTTCACTGTAGTCTACTGCACAGCCACATCGACAATCTATCGATAATGGTCAGCACCACAAGACACAGTTAAATAAAGATAAGGGTGGCTCAGTCGTTAAGCGTCTGCCTTTGGCTCAGGTATGATCCCAGGGTCCTGGGATCAAGCCCTGCATTGGGCTCCATGCTCCGCAGGAAGCCTGCTTCTCCCTCTCCCACGCCCCCTGCTTGTGTTCCCTCTCTCGCTGTTTCACTGTCAAATAAATAAGTAAAATCTTAAAAAAAAAAAAAAAAAAAGATAAGGGATATAAGGCCAACAGTGTTAGGCTGCATTACATGTCTCCCTTGCAACTCTTCGACGTTTGTTCAAGCCTTTTATCTTAACCAGATTTTAATGCAGCCATCAATCAGAAAAGGTTCACTACTTCCACTGAAGAGTCCCACAGTTACACTTTGCGGTGAGAAACAAATCCATGAATGGAACCATGCAGATCAGCTCCAGCACGGAAAGTAAACATATGGACGTCCAAGAATTTCCAGCATCCACATCTTATGGGAGATAGCACGGTAAAGAGGAAAGTGAACTAAGCTAGTTTTCGTTTTTTTTCTTTTAAACTGCATTTGTGTCCCATGTCTTCCAGCTGATGGTGGGGAGACTGTGAGCAAATTGCTTTACCTCCTTTGATCTCATTTTCCTATTTAAAATAAAGTTAATACTGCAAAGATTAAATGAGAGCATTGTTTCAAGGCCTGCACCAAGAAAATGCTCAGTCGGGGCTGATTTCCTTTACCTTCTCATATGATCCTAAAAGCAATGTATTCCTGCAGTACTTTAGCTACACATAAGTCCATATTTTTGTCATGACTATCAACTTGAAATTTCATAATTAAAAGGAAAAATTACCTGAAGCATTGTCGAAAAATGTCTTATCGCTTCATCATAGAGTCCACTGCCAATCAACACATAAGCAATAGCTATGAAACAAAATACATAAATATTACAGGAAAGAATGAAGGATCTCTGAGCAGAATCAGTAACTAAATTCTTTGCTGAGTCCTAACAGGCAGCTCCAAGGACCAGAAGCAATTAAAGAAAACTTGGAAGTTAGTAAGATGTACTTGAATTCTTCCACCACTCGGCACCTGCTATCAGTCTTCCAGTGCTCTCAAGATTTAAATTATTAAAGCCATCTATAAAACATCACCTACAAGAAGTAATTATCTTTTTCTAGGCCCATCACTCACTTTCAAATACAAATAACCTTTATGATGTTTCCTATCAATACATCAGAAGAGCTAGTAATGAGCCTGAGTAAAGCCCACATAACATGGCAATGTGATTTTACTGTGAAAGTTATGAGAAATACCCAAAGAGCATCACAAATCTCAATCCCTGGGGGGTGCTGAACTTAACTGCCAGTTACCAAGTAAGAACAATGCAAGCGGAGGCTCAAATTAATACATATTAAGAGAATGTTTAATTCACACCAGCGCAACGCAACAGTGGTCTTTTTCCTACCTCTTCTGTTCAGAATACAGTCAAAACACTTCCCAATATATACACTAAAGATGAATACATAGTTTCTAATCAAATTGTGTCAGTAATTGGTATTTTGTAATAAGAGCCATGACAACGTCTTAATACACGGCAATATGTGGACTGAATTTTTTCACCTGTCCAAAATGCAATAAATTATTGATAGTCTAGATTGCATTTCATCTATATTACATTATTACATTATTGATAGTCTAGATTACATTTCATCTATAAAATTTGCCCTAACTCCCTAAATCCTCAAATATCCCTGAAAAAATTGTATTCCTCACTCAACACAATACTATTTTTATCACATTTCTTCGCAAGAAAGCTTTATCGCAATGCTCCAATCCTAGAACCTAAGAGGTGTTCAAGGAGACAGACAACTAAAACTTTCACTGGCGTGAAGAGCTGAAATTTGCTGAGAGTTAAAAGTAGTAAAAACATTCAATGCAGAAAGAGACTTAGAGTGTCCCCGTAACTAACCTGAGAAAAGTAAACTTCAAGAGCACTGAACGTCATAATAAGACAACAGCTTTGGGGGCATTCTTCAAGATAAAGAGGGCTGTTTTTGTCGTAATTTCTTTGAAAAGATAAATTAAGGTCAACCTCATATTTGAAATAATAAGAAGGGATACCATTCAGATGCATCAGATAACAAGATAAGCAGAGACACCTTTGGTGGGGGGCCAGGAATATTAGCAGTAAAAATAACAGTGACAGGTATGTGCGTGGCACTCTGTACATTTCCACGTACTAACTCATTTACTCCTCGATCACGATGAGACAGGTACAGTTATTATCCCCATTCAAAGACAAAGAGATGAAGCATAGTGCAGTTGAACAAACTGTCCGAAGACAATGTGGGGTGAGACAAAGAACCCAGGCTGCCTGCTCTGGGACCCACCCTAACACACTCCCCTGAAATAAATCAAGGCTGTACCGAAACTGCTGTGTGCTGGGCTGGACTGCAAAAATGGTTTGAATTTCTGGATGATTACATGAACAGGGATGGAAATGTAAATGCGTCCTTCTTTGAAGGCAGGAAGATGGCGATATATCAGAAAGCCAAGATCTGGGCTCGGGTTCTGGCTCTGCCACCCACCAGCGGTGTGATCAGCCACTTCTCACTACTTCTGGGTCTTGCTTAACAAGCCTGTAGAACATCTTCTAACATTCCTTTCAGATCTAATGTTTTAGAATTTCCTATCTCTCTCCCCATAACCAGTAAATATCTATTGAATGAACAAATGAATAAGTGACCCACAAAAACGAATACAGTTTTAGGGGATAAATATTATTGTACTTAAGAACATGTTTAAATTGTTCTCCATGGCTAGGCTGTTGAACTCCACTTAAATAAAATCAAATGCAGCTTTCAAATCTTTCTATCTAAAAGTAAACACTTTTTCGAGAAAAACCCAAAAGTATCCATTAAAAAAAAAAATCCAAATCTTGCAAAACTATAAATAACTATTAGGATCTAAATTTTGTTGTGGCAGTCCAAAGACATAGAGAAAACACTGGAATTCCCACAGAAATCATTACTATCCAGCAATTCCACATCTCCTGGCAACGCCTGTATTGACAGAAGCTGCTCTTCCAAGGAAAAAATATCGTGATGTGAAGAATCCTAAGCCATTCAGGGCCTAGAGGTATAGTAGGATTAGTCTTAGAGCACAGAACAGGCCTGGCACATCCTGGGCCCTTAATTCCTGACTTAATAAATGAATATGGGGCTGACCAGAACCCAAGGACCTCAGAAAAGACCAAATCTGATTTCTTAACAGGTAATTAATTCTCAAAGCCTACTCAAAGAATATCACCAAAAAGTGATTAATACTTTCAAAATAGTCAGCTCTTAATTAGCTGCACTAACAGAGCAAAGGAGCCAATACAAGAAGTGCTCAATTTTTTGTTTTTTGTTTTTTTAAGTAATCTCTAGGCCCAGTGTGGGGCTTGAACTCATGACCCCAAGATCAGGAGTCGCGAGATCTACCAACTAAGTCAGCCAGGCGCCCCGAGGTATTCCATCTTAATATAAAATGCACATGGCCACAGAAAGGATAAAATAATTATATATAAATTAGATAGAAAAGAATTTCCGAAGGCGCTTCAGGCCACCAGGCACCAGGCAAGAGCATATGCTTCTGTGAAGTCTGTCCAGCTGCCCTGTTCAGGCCTGTATTCAATTTTGTTTCCATTCCTTCAACAGCAAGCTGACTCGACAATGAGCATATCAGACCCTGGCGGAACCAGCCTATTTGAAAACAGGCCCCCAACAAGCCAAACTGCAGGACCCCTCTGCAGATCTGAATGAACTCAACCTTTCCACACCCACATTCTTAGACCCAACAAGAACTGACGGGCCTCACAGTAAAATTAACTTATACCTAGCTATTATATTACACAGAAGATTACAGTAGGTGTGAGGAGTCTCCTCTGCTTTCACATTTGTGTTGTTCCTATTCGATGACAGCACAAATTACCTTTAATGAATGATAAGCACTCCGAAGGACTCGTTACCATAATTGTTAATTTCCAGAGAAACAGAGGTTCTTACAGATCATTCTCTCCAGACCTTGTATTTTCTCTATTTCATATTATATTGACATGTAACGCACAGACCCGCACAAGGGTTGAATGCCCCACCCAAGATCACACCACTCATATTGGCAGAGCCAGTGTCTGTGTTCTCTCTCCCTCACCACCCTGCCTACCTGCTTGGCACTGAATCATAAAGTCTAGGCAAATGCCCCAGGAATACCCCCTCCCCCAGATTCAAATCTCACCTAGCTCTTCATTTGTGCTGTCGTTATCCGTAGCAAACGGGAATCTCTTTTGTTCTGCAATAGACTTGGCCTGGCTCTGAAACAGAAACAAACATACGTTTTAGCTTATCACAAGTGAAGACAAAGCTTATAATGAAGACCTGTATTTTAAAAAAATTTAAAGCTCCATTTGATTTATATGGAAGAAAATATTCACTTTAATAAATACCAATTGTGTACTTCACACACATAGCTTGTGGTGTGACTGATTTGTCTCCTCCCCTATCATTAGTGGATCTGTTTCTTTCTTTTTTTGATTTATTCATTTATCTGAGAGAGGGAAAAAGAGAGCACGAGTTGGGGGAAGTGTGGCAGAGGGGGGGTGGACAGAGAAACTTAAGCAGACTGTGCTGAGTGCAGAGCCCAAAACAGGGCTCAATCCTATGACCCTGAGATCCTGACCCGAGCTAAAACCAAGAGTCAGGAGCTTAACCGACTAAGAAACCCAGGCGCCCCAGTGGTTCTGTTTCTAAGAACAAGTTTCTTTTCACTTCCATAGGGATTCATCCTGCTGGCTGCTTCATGCTCCCTCCATGTTTTCAGAAACTATTCAATGACCTCGATCATGTTGCAAAGATCACATTCTAGCCATCAGTCCTCCAATGAGGCTGGATGACAGAATGTTGTTTTTCAAACTAAAAATATTTTAGAAATAAGAGCTACAAGTTGTACAGAGATGATGCCACCAAAGGACCAACAAAATCTGACCAAGAAACAAGCCATTCTAGTGAAAAAAGCACAGCAGATGATGAACATCTCCCTCCTACTGAAGGCAGTAGATCTGCCTACGAAGAAATTATACAGACATATGCACATTTGGCAGGAAAGCTAAAACAAGAGCGGAAACCAGGGGAAAACGAAGTAAATAAGTTAGCTTAGTAACTGCAGTGATTTTATAGGCAGTACCGGTCTACTGTATGTAATGATGGCTCTGTAGTGTTTTGGAGACAAATCATGTCTGATACCACAGCTGTGACTTCACCAGAAGATTCAGCTGTTGATGCTAACTTGTGATACGCTTAGTTACAGGGTACACATTAAAGTGATTACTTCACACCAGATTCTCCTAAGACATGACTAAAACTTGTACATACCCAGAGACAGCAAAAACTAAGACAGTGAGAGACTAAAGATTTGTGGCTTTTGGCAAAACCACAGGATTAGAACCCAGTGACATCCCAATTAACTGAGTTCCTTTTTTTAAAAATGCATAGTACAGACGCCTAAAGGCATATATATAGGCCAAATAATTTTACATGAGACACTCTTCCAACTACTATATGTGCTCTTCAGCTAACAATTGGTGTTCATTAGCAGTAATGAACTGTGGCCCCTTGGGCTTCACGGACTCAAATAACAGTAACAAGGCATTTCCACTTATACTCCCTATACTTTCAAAATCTAGATTGATGTTCAGATACAGCACAGTATTTAGTTTGCCTATAAAACAGGTCAAGATGAAATCAGAGAGGGAGGTAAACCATAAGAGACTCTTAACTGTAAGAAACAAACTGAGGGTTGCTGGAGGGAAGGGGGGTGGGAGGGACGGGGTAACTGGGCACATGATGAACTATATGCAACTGATGAATCACTAAACTCTACCTCTGAAACTAATAATATACTATATGTTAATTAATTGAATTTAAATTTAAAAATAAATAAATAAAGCAGGTCAAGAATAAGCTACCTCTGGGGTCAAAACACAAGTTAAAGGCTATAGGCCAGAAGGGCATCCCATGTTGAGATGAACGCTCAACTTCATTCCATTCAGGACTCCAGACAAAAGGAAACATCTGAAAATTCTACTACTATGGGAATGTTTAACACTCAATTTCTTCCAGTAAAACCCTGATGACTAGAGAGAAACTCTATCAGCTCCTTCTCATTTTGCTCCATAGCTGGAGCTTCCACACAGATATGGGAAGTCTTGGCGGGATCCTCGAGAGACAGCTTTAAGAAGCAGCAGATTTAACAATATGTGACATATGTTACAATATGTATACATATATAACAATATGTAACATATCCGGGTATGACCAGACACGAGACTTTCCTCTTTATCAGATGGTCACAGATCAGCACGCAGATGCAAAAGATTTATCTGCTTAATAAATTGCTTAGGGCCCAGAAAGGAGTCTATGAATAATGCTTTTAGTGCTTAAAAAATCCAGTATGCAGTGAGAGTCTCCCATGTGCCAAACCTTTGTGCAGAAAGATATGGGAAAAGAATACAAATGAAATCCCATAAAAAGAAATCATTTACCAAACAACATCAAGAGTATACTGAAGACTATATCTGAGCTAAGTGTTTTTATTTTATTAAAAATAAAACCTGAGAGAAGTGAGAAGGAAAGTATAGTATGAACAAATTAATTTCCTGATCAGAAAGAATCTTTCCCACTTCTAATACCACATCTATCGATATCCTCTGTGGACAGCAGTGAGAAGCTCTGATCAAGGAAGTTTATGCACACAGCCCCACTTCTCTGGTCTACTAACTCCAACCCATCCGTCAGGTCCCTGCTTACATTTCAATTCCTAAAAGCTGTTCTACCTGCTCCCCTTAATTTAACAGAGATTATGTTGACCTTTTGCTATACTTCTACATTTATTTGTATAATTATCGGGTTAGTGACTAGGAGTCATGAGCGTAGGGACTGAGGCTAGCTGGCTCACTGTGGTATTCCCAGTACTTACTTAGCACAACGCCTGGCACATAATAGGTGCAAAATAAATATCTGGAGAATTAATGAAGAAATGAATAGTCGGACTCCCATATTTTCAACCTAGGGAAAATGAAAGGCCAAGATTGATGAGCTTTCTCCCATAGGTTACTAGCTAGTGCCATCTTAAACTAGAAATGCAACACGTAGAAAATATTTGAATTCCTGTCCCTAATAATTCTAAGAATCTAATCGCCTATCCAAGGTGGGGATCACCCAATTTCTACTGAAATGTTTTTAGTGATGGCCAACTCACTACTTTACAAGATAGCCCATTCTGGTTTGAGACCAGTCTAATTCAAGTTTTTCCATATATCAGGTTGATTGCTATGCAGTGAAATTAGATAAAATCTGTTGATCATTTCCTAGTTTGCAATTTCTACCTATTTTTAGTAGTTCTTACATGCAAAGGCAAAGCTTTGTCGGGAGAAGAAAGACTAACCTAAAGGGAAATTTTAAATGAAAGAAGCAAACGATATCTACATGGATGTTAAAGGAAAAAGCCTGGAGAAAAAAAATATGTTAACCTTGGGCACTGAAAGAGCCACTCAGCTTCACAGAGGCTGTGAGACTGGAGGCGCGTATAAGATACATTATACCTTCAAATACATGAGGTTTCTAGAAATAAGGGTCAGCCATGATCTTCCCCTTTATTCACTGGAACTTAAAAAGTAAAATGGATGAGATCTAGAATGATCAACCATCCAATTTATAAGTCATAATAATTCAATGTGACTAAATACCAGATGACCTATCTTTATCTTATGCAAGTAGAACCAACTGGAATCAAAGCCTACTTGATAAACAGAGGTGACCTCCTTCTTTTGAAAGCAGTACCATCGTGGCTCTAGATTACAAAAACAGAAAGCATGTATGGAAGATGCATACCAGAATCTTTTCAGTGTTGAGGGAAAGCAATGAGTCACAGGGTGGTGGTCCTTTGGGCTCGCAGTCTGAGTCGTGGAAGTTCAGAAAGGATGACTCTGCAAAGTAAACATTCCTGGTTATTCTCCTCACCTTAAATTCATGGCTCTCAGGTGTCTAACTATGAATTATAATGTGAAAAATCCACAAAACCAAACTAAGGACAAAGCAAAAAGCACTAAAAGGGGCATCCTATCTTCCACTTTATAGCTGTGTAACATTCTGTGGTTTCCAAATATCCTCATAACCAGTCATTAACATAGTAGTTGTTAAGATAACTTTGTTAGACATCTCCTACCTGGTAGCATTTACCAGAGATTAAAAAAAAATCACAAACGGGAGACCAAAGTCAAGCCAGGGAGATCTAATGTTAAAAGATAAGTACAGGGGCGCCGTGCGACTCTTGATCTCGGGCTTCTAGGTTCAAGCACCACGTTGGGTATAGAGATCACTTAAAAATAAAATCTTAAAAAAAAAAAAAAAAAAGGTATGAACTAAGGGTCTAGTATCCAGAATATATAAATATCTCCTGATTTCAACAAGAAAAAGACAACCAAATTAAAAAATGGGTAAAGGAGGGGCGCCTGGGTGGCTCAGATGGTTAAGCATCTGCCTTCGGCTTGGGTCATGATCTCTAGGTCCTGGGACTGAGCTCCCAGCTCAGAGGAGAGTCTGTTTCTTCAACTCCCTCTGCCTTTCCCTTTGTTTGTGCTCTCTCTCTCAAATGAATAAAAATCTTTTTTTAAAAAATGGGCAAAGGACTGGAATAGGCAATTCTCCAAAGAAGATCCACAAACGGCCACTGAGTACATGAAAAGATGTTCTACATCATTGTTAATTAGGGACTGCAAATCAAACCATAATGAGATACTTCATTACCACAAGGATGGCTACACTTTCTTCAAAAATGGGAAATCACAAGTGTTGGCAAGGATGTCGAGAAATTAGAGCCCCTTGTGCACAGCTGATGAGGATACAAAGAGGTGTGGCCGCTGTGGAAATCAGTTTACTGGCTCATCAGAAAGTTGAACATAGAATTACCATACAGTCCCACTATTCCATTCCCGCGTATATACCCAGAGAACTAAAAACAGGGACTCAAACAAGGACGTGCATATGCATCGTCATAGAAGCACCATCTACAATAACCAAACAGTAGAAAGAGCTCAACAGATGATAGATACATCATGGCATATACATACAGTAGAATATAATTCAGCCTTAAAAAAGGTAGTACTACAATCATCATGAATTAGTACAACCCTTTACTCCTATAATAATAAACCTACATTTATACTTTAGCTCACTAACAGAATTTCAAAATTGAGAGACTTCACTCTAAGCGACATCTAAAATGCTTGCCTATATTTGGAAATATTCAAAGTTGTGGCATATATATATCATATGTCTTATCACTGTTTACACCTTTTGGCCTAAGATAGAGAGGAAAATGTCTATTTTCTAGTTATCTCAGGGCCAATTAAATTATCAATTTGAACACCACCTTTACATTACAGTCACTGGGGTCCATTTCTAGACTTTTTTTTTTAAGGAATCTTTGAGATTATTTACACCCAATGACAATAGCTCTGACAGATGACTGTCCCATCCACATGGACACTGGTATTTTAAAAATGACAGGAGTAACTCATGTTCATTCTAGAAAATATAGAAAAATCATAAAACATAAATAAAAGTCATTTAGAATACTACCACACATTGAGAACCAATGTGAAAATTTTGGTGTAATTAATGTAATTAAGAGCTCAATATTGACAATGCTGAAATCAGACGGCTTGGGTTTGAATTCCTGTTGTCTGCCACTACTTACTAGCTCTTGGCCACTGACTTAGCCTCATCAATCTTTGGTTTCTTCATTTATAAAACAGGGTCAATGAGAGTATCTACTTCATGGGTGTGCTTGATTTAAACAAGACAATTTAAACAAGGAGAGATAGAAGTAAAGTATTTGGTACTGTTTCTGGCATAAAGAAGGAGCTTAAAGATGTTTGCTACTATTGTTATCATTAGGTTGTGAGAATGGAAGGAGATACACTGTTTTGTAACCTGCCCTTTTAATGTAACAATATAAACACTTCCCCATATGACTAAATTTTCCTCTGCATTATTTAAATTCAAACTTAGTGAGATTAGGTAAGATTTTTAATATCTTTAAAATTTTAATTCTCTACAATAAACCTGTATTTTGCTGTTGTTTCTAGACTAATCCCTTATAATGATCTGCTTATTCTGACTTCAATAATATCACATTATTTCAATACTGTACCCTTATAATAAATGCATACATTTTAATGTAAAGCAAAGTCTCATCATTTTTTTTTTCAGAAGTTTCTTGGCTATTTGGATCAACATACTTCAGATAAACTTCATTTTGTTAAGGTCACGAAACAAAAAAGTCCCTCTATGACTTTTTGGGTTTTTTTGTTTTTTAAGTAGCCTCCACGCCCAGCGTGGAGCCCAACGTGGAGCCCAACGTGGGGCTTGAATTCACAATTCTGAGATCAAGACCTGAGCTGAGATCAAGAGTCAGCTGCTTAACCAACTGAGCCACCCAGGGGTCCCCACTCTATGATTTTTACTAGAATTGTTAAAACTGTAGATTAATGAGTGGAGGAGTACTTCTTTACAAAATTTAATCTATTTATTCAACTTTTATTAACCTATGCAAAACTTTACAATTTTTCTATATAATTTACACATTCAAATTTGCTGTGATTAAAAAGAAAACTGGTGGATGACCACTGATTCAGTACGTATTTGTTGAGCATCTACTACGCTCCATTGACTGCTCAGTGGTCTTCAACACCAAAAATGACCCCTGTCCTTCTATATGAAGATTATAGTTCAGGGACGCCTGGGTGACTAGTCAATTAAGCACCTGCCTTCAGCTCAGGTCATGATCCCAGGGCCCTCAGATCGAGTCCTGCATTGGGCTGCTTGCTCAACAGGGAGCCTGCTTCTCCCTCTGCCTGCCGCTCCCCCTGCTTGTGCTCTCTCTCGCTCTCCCTCTCTCACAAAGGAAAATAAAATCTTAAGAAAAAATATGTTTTAAAATAAGATTATAGTTCAGTGAGGGAAACCAACAGTAATCAAAATCACACAGAAATGTCAAGTCACAGCAGCTTAAAGAACTTATGACTAGAGCATAGTCAGGAGAAACAGTACTCAGGGACAGTTTCCTGAGGACGTGAATAACAGCATCAGAGCATACTGATAGAGTTCACAGGGTAGAGGCACACTTTTGATCCCCATTTTAAAAACAAGGAAACTGAGGCAAAGAGGCTAAGTAATCTGCCCATGGCTACCCTCTAGCAAAGCAGTGGAGGTGGGGTTTGAGCCCAGGCAGTCTGGTTCTGGATCTGTGCTGGAGAGAGTGAAGGGAGACCTGAGGGAAGTTTCAGATTTAAAAGGGGAAGGTCCATGGGCAGCTGGGAGGACAGGCAGAGTGGTCCAGACAGAAAGACAGCATATTGTAAATCTTCTGTCTTAACTGGCTAGAGCTCAATATTTTATCTACCCACATTACTGAATTCCTAATAGCTCTATTAATGCTTCCATTTATTCAGTGGATAATTGTATCATCTACATGTAATTATCAAGGTCTTTTTAATATTTATACTCATTCAGCATCTTATTATACTAGATAAAACCTCCAAAAAAGTGCTCAATACTAGTACTCCTGCTTATTCCTGACATTAATACTTCATTGAATGATCCAGAATTTCCTCAAGTTTTGACGATAAGATTTTTCATTTAACATTTATAAGCATCCAGTGGGAAGATGCTCTATATGGCTATGGGTTAACATTGATGTATTTTACCATATAAAGGAAGGATTCTCCTATTCTTTGTTTTACCAAAAATTTTAAATCAGGAAAGCTGGCTGAATTTTATCAAGTGTTTTTGGAAATTTCTTTATGATAATCATATGATTTTTCTCCTTTGACCTATTAAGGTAATTAATTCAATTTTTTTAAAAAGTTGAGCCATCTTTGTACTTCTAAAATAAATTCTAATTGGCCAAGGCACATCATTACTTTAATTGATTGCTGGCTTCAGCTTATTAATATTTTACTTAGGATTTTTATAACTATTTTATAGCTTTCTTCCCACCCCCACCCCCACAACTGTATTAAATTCTGGCATTAGTGTCTCTTGCTGGTTTGGTAGATCTGTGAGAGAAAAACAGTTTGTTACAGCTATACCCAGAGTTGTCTGGAACAGAAGGTTAAATTTGTTCTTCAATCTAAAACTGTTTAGCTCACTATGGCTTTGATTATTTTACAATAACAACCCAACCACCTGTATTTAGATGGTATGGATTTCCATAGAATCAGGAAAACATTGTATTCCTCCTTGCTCAGATAACACAAGTTAAGATTTATTTTATTTTATATATTTTTAAAAGATTTTATTTGAAAGAGACACAGAGAAAGCACGAGTGGGGAGGAGCGTCAGAGGGAGAGGGAGAAGCAGACTCTCCGCTGAGCAGGGAGCCGGATGCGAGGCTCGATCCCAGGACCCCAGGATTATGACCTGAGCCGAAGGCAGACACTTCATCGACTGAGCCACCCAGGCATCCCGCAAGTAAAATTTAAAGATAATTACTACAGAAATATTCTCAAAACACAATACAGAATCTTATCTTTTTCTTCTAGATCATCTCTTAAACATTTATTGAATGATTCATATTTTTAATCTTATTAGCAGGGATTTCTCCACATTTGTGTCTTAATTCCCATGGCCTCTACAATTGTCCACACGGCCCCTCACTCCTAAAGTACATTTGCCTCTGCTCTTCTATATATGCGTTAGCCTTAGCAGGTTGATCTATTTTATTTTTTTTAAAGAACCAACTCTTGGATCTATTTATCAATTCTATTGTTGCTGTTTCTCATTCATTTATTCTGGCTTTGTCCTAGGCACTGCTTCCAACTTCCCTTCTTTCCTTTTCTTGTTGCTCAAGCTTAGTTTCCAGCTCATTTACTCCCTGTCTTCATCAATATGAAGAAGCCACCAAAGGCTTAAGCACAAGAAA